CCTTGATGAAAATAGGGATGTCCTATTCAATAATAATAATAATAATAACAATAACAATAATAATAATACCACAAAAATCTGACTAGGTTGCCATTTAAACAAATGAAAGTGGGACATCCTGGGATCAGATCAGAAACTGGGACAGCTTCTGTAAATCTGTGACTGTCCCTGGAGAACAGAGACACTTGGAGGGTCTGCAGTGGCTAACCCACCCAGTGTCAAACACCATCAGCTTGTTTTCTCCATCTCCAGAGGTTAGGTCTCAAACCAATGGCTTCAAGTTACAAGAAAGGAGATTCTGACTAAACATCGGGGGGGGGGGAATTCTCACAGTAAGAGCTGTTCAACAGCTGTGGACTCTCCTTCCTTGGTGGTTTTTAAGCAGAGGTTGGACAGCCATCTGCCATGGATGCTTTCATTGAGATTCCTGCCTTGCAGGAGGTTGGACTAGATGACCCTTAGGGTCCCTTCCAACGCTACAATTCTACCAGAAGCCATCTGGGTTTCTGATTTGATTCCAGAATGTCCCACTTTGCCTTAAAACACCCCTATTTTCATTGGAGAAATGATGGAGGGTATGGAGTAATGCAACCCCCAAGCCGAGGAGATAAAGTAACTATACAACCTTTAGAAGATATCTGGAGGCAGCCTTGCATAGGGAAGTTGTTGATGTTTAATGTTTTATTCTGTTTTTTATACATGTTGGAAGCTGCCCAGAGGAGCTGGGGTAACCCAGTCAAGTGGGTGGATGGATATATAAATAATAAAATTAGTAGTAGTAGTAGTAGTAGTAGTAGTAGTAGTAGTAGTATCATCCTCATCCTCACCATGGAATAACAGGTGGCGCTGTGGTTAAACCACAGAGTCTAGGACTTGCCGACCTGATCGGTGGTTCGAATCCCCCGTGACGGGGTGAGCTCCCGTTGCTCGGTCCCTGCTCCTGCCAACCTAGCAGTTTGAAAGCACGTTAAAGTGCAAGTAGATAAATAGGTACCGCTCCGGAGAGAAGGTAAATGGTGTTTCCGTGCGCTGCTCTGGTTTGCCAGAAGCGGCTTAGTCATGCTAACCACATGACCCGGAAGCTATACGCCGGCTCCCTCGGCCAATAAAGTGAGATGAGCGCAGCAACCCAAGAGTTGGTCATGACTGGACCTAATGGTCAGGGGTCCCTTTACCTTTACCTTTACCTATTTTCATCAGAGAAATGTTGGAAGGTCTGGCATCTGCTCTGCGTGCAGAAACTCCCAGGTTCAGTTCCCAACACCTCCACATAGGACTGGGAATATCTCCTTCCTGCAACCCTGGAGAGTTGCTGCCAGTCAACAACACTGAGCTCAACAACACTGATCTAGATGGAGCAGTGGTCTGACTCAGTAGAAAGCAGATTCCTAGGCTCCTAGGTTTCAGCACAAAACTAGTCCAAAGTGCCTACGAAGAGTGAGAAAGTTTTCAGGGCCATTCACCTTGCTATTTGAGATGGGGACTTTTATTAGATTGGATTGTAGTTAGATTGGATTGTAGATCGAGCGACCTGTGGGCTAAAAATAATTCTCTCCCTGTGAGTGAGTGTGTGCGAAAGAGAGTGAGGGGGGTATTTCTGTTTTTAATCTCTTATCCACGGAACAGAGAAGTGCTACAGTTCCTCCACAAAAGCCCTCCTCTCCCAAGATGATATATGTTGCGCTGAATAAATGCAAGCCAAAGGCAACCATCGTGAACAAAGGAGCAAACTCTTCCTGACAAGTGACAATACGAGTCCTCAGGCTCCCACTTATTATAGCAAAGCCCAGAAGATTTAGGAGCTGTGCCTCTCGAATGCAGCTCTCCAATAATCCCACTGACTCAATTGGCGAGCTTCTCCCCTTCGTCACTTTCTTCATTGCAATCCACCGGAAGCGACAGCCCAGAACGATCCTCTGCTTACTCACCTACCAAGTGTGGTTCAGCTTCTTGTCACCTAGTGTTAGCTCAGCCAAGGAAGAGATCTTTTCTCAGGGCTTCTGCTCACAAGCAACATGGTCCCATGCTTTTATTTTGGCCATCCTCCTAGAGTTGCTTTTTTTTGCAATGGAAAGGAACACTCCATCAGTGGGTTGAGGAAATGCGGAGAAGCAGCCAGCAGAGAATGGAATCGAGGACTACTTTTGAATTAACAGAGATTTAGTAGAGAATTAATGAAAACAAGTAAGCAGTGGAAGACAGGAGTGCCTGGCATGCTCTGGTCCATGGGTCACGAAGAGTCGGACACGACTAAATGACTGAACAACAAAGCATCCAAAGGGGAAATGTTGTAGTACTGGTTGACTTCACCTGCAATACCAGTGCAAAGAGATAACATTTCCAGAAGCCCTAAATGACTGTGCACTAGAACCGTTGGCCATGGAGCTGATATGGGGTAGGTGGGAAGCGGGTGGCCCTGTGGTCTAAACCACAGAGCCTCTTGGGCTTGCTGATCACAAGGTTGGTAGTTCGAATCCCCGCAACGGGGTGAGCTTTCGCTGCTCTGTCCCAGCTCCTGCCAACCTAGTAGTTCGAAAGCATGTCAAAGTGCTAGTAGATAAATAGGTACCACTCCAGTGGGAAGGTAAATGGCGTTTCTGTGCACTCTGGTTTCCATCACGGTGTTCTGTTGTGCCAGAAGTGGTTTAGTCATGCTGGCCACATGACCAGGAAAGCTGTCTGTGGACAAACGCCGGCTCCCTCAGCCTGAAAGCACCACAATCCCATAGTCGCCTTTGACTGGACTTAACTGTCCAGGGGTCCTTTACCTTTTACCTTTACCTAGGGGTGGGTAATATATTGATGTATCAACCAAAACCAGTTTGAAGTTCATATTGTGATATCAGTAACAAAAATTTTGACCTGGCAGTATATTGCAAATCATGATGTGTATGTGGGGAAATGTGGGGGAAACCACAAAGCCAGCCATTGCTTCTCTTGATTCCTGCAGCCCCCATTAACTCTGCCAGCTCAGCGCTTCCCTGCCTCCTACAGGGGGCAGAGAATCACAAAAGCAGACGCCAGCAAAAAATCACAACACGGGGAAAACCGTGAAGCCAGCCAATGCCTCTACATAGCTCCATCCTTATTTCAGACATTGTGATATACTGGTATATCATGATGCTTAGCACGTTAGATATATCATGATGTCGGAAACCAGATATCAACCTGTCCTAGAGCTGAGCAGCAGAAGAGCAACCCAGGACCTGATGTGAGATTTCTGTTCTTGAACCAGTTGGGAGTAGTGGCCGGAGTGTTATTAGATTAAATATACATGTAAATGGCCAATAGCCAAGAAAATCTGACACCGTCACATTTATTCCCTAAATTAATCCATAGCTGTATGTTAGTTTCAATGATATGCTTTTTAAAAAACACTTCACTCCAGTAAATGCATCTTAGTACAGATTACCTGGCCGGAGAACAGCAATGCAAAATTTAGAGAAGCGCAAAATTCAAAGGATGGCTGAATTTGAAAGCAGACCTTCCTTGGAGGTGGGTACAGAGAAGAATCTCAGATTATGACCTCAGGGTCAGGGAAAGTTCATGGGGGAAATTAGTTTTAGCAGTGAGCCATATAGTGAACTTAATATATATATTGGAAGATGTTAAGTCGTGGGTTGACATAGCAGCCGGCACAGCGATTCTTCAAGTAGCTCTTTATTATGGTAAGCTGGAATACAATGACTGCGACAGCTCAGCCGGCCTGTATTATAGGCAGCCGGCTGTCAACATTGTAACCACAACAGCCCAGAGTTCCCGCCTAAAATAACTGCCGCGGACCTGAGTGAAAACTATCTACAGACCTGAGTGAAAACTATATACAGTATCCCCCTGTTGGCCCAGGGTAAACTACACTACATAACACCCCTCCCCACCGAGATAAGGCGTTAGTTACAATCGTAATGGTTTCCTTATATACAGCACTACGCGTAATGGTTCCATTAAGCACAGAAGCATATCGGTTACATTTCCCATACTTAGACCAACAGTGATACCTGTCCAACAACATAGTCCTTTAAATAAGTTGCGGCTTGGAAACTCTGCCAGACCGCCGGGAACTGGTAGCCAAGTCCGGAGGGCCACACAGTTCTCGCTGAGGCTGTGGTGCGACCCTAGGTGGCGTTGGAACCAACTCCCCTGGATCCGCTGCTGTGGGTGGAGCCTCCGCAAGTGGAGTGGTCTGAGTCTGTTCTGAAACGGCTTGGTTCGGCTCCACGCTGGCAGTTTGCGAGGGAGGTGTAGGTGGGGCCTCGCCATCTGTACGTGTCTCTTCTGGAGCCGCAAACGCAGTTGGGGGCACCTCGGTAGTGTCCAAGCCCCCAACCCTGCGCCTAAGCTGGTCTATGTGCCGTCGC